CTTTGTTATTTGACGCCTCTATGAGCAATAATCAGGTTTGTAATGTGGAGACGACGGAAAACAGAAAACAATAAACAGACTGATTATAACGGATCAGGCTCTGAACTTAATTTAAAACCAGGAAGTGGGAGATACTTTAGAGAACATTTCTGCAACAAGTATTACAGTACAGTAATAACCATCAGGGCCCAGTTCAGTCCCAGTTCAGTCCCAGTAGGGTCCCAGTGCTGTCCCAATTTAGTTCCAGTTCTGTCCCAGTCCTTTCCCACTTCAGTCCCAGTGCTGTCCAAGCTCAGTCCCAGTTCAGGCCCAGTTCTGTGCCAGTTCAATCCCAGTTCAGTCCCAGTGCTGTCCCAGCTCAGTCCCAGTTCAGGCCCAGTTCTGTGCCAGTTCAATCCCAGTTCAGTCCCACTTCAGTCCCAGTGCTGTCCCAGCTCAGTCCCAGTTCAGGCCCAGTTCTGTGCCAGTTCAATCCCAGTTAAGTCTGACACCTGCTGGACATCTAAAGTTACTACAGGCAGCCTCTCTGACCTCAACTGACTCTGATTGGATGATGTAGATGTCATTTAATCCATTGCTTTCTATAATGGATTATTTCATATCTTCATTTAACTTGAAAATATGTTTTATATTTTTAGATTCAATGCAGAAAATGATAAATCTATTCCAGAGATGATATTCAGTGTTTTCTGCATATTCACATGACCTTTAACCTTTACTAAAGAGTAGAAACAGAGGAATATTTCTTAGCTACTGTGTAAAAGTATCATCAAGCATCATCTTAACTCTAACCCTCCGACAGCGGTGTTGAGATTTTATATTCTATTCCCAGCCAGCTGGGAATTTATATTTCTGATACTTTAAGATGTTTATTTCCCTCCCTGGTAGGGGGGGTAAATATCTTATATTGTTTATGACACACAGTCCTACTAACTGTGTTAGAACAATAGATGAAAGAGTGATTCGAGCTCTAATCATGGTCAAACAGTTAATTCTGCACAAACATGGAATAAATTCACCACAACAAAATATAAGATTTTATTAACAAAATTCAGCTCCAAGTCAAACATATTTCAGTTAAAAACTCTTAACTAAGACCAGTAAAACTCAACTAAACTAAACTAACTACTATGTACAAAGAGGAAGGGAAAACGGTTGAAAACCAGATTACAGTTTAAGATGGATTCTGTGTTTGAAACCAAAGTTTATCTGGAAGAATTTGGGTTATGATCAAATTATC